GTAAGCATAGTCCCTATAGAAGTTTTGGAGTCACCGAGTTGTTTTTCTTTTGTTTTGATGGATATGCTGAAGTTGAGGGTCATTCAGGGAACATTAATTTGGTTTTCTAATACCTTCTGGCTTGTAAAGTTCAGATTTTGGAAATCAGGGAAGCTGTTGAAGAGGCTGCTGACTCTCAGGCTTTGGATGAGATTCAATCTCAGGTATGAACCTAGACCTTTTTAATACATGTGGGAATAATTAGCAAGGAGCACGACAATTCTTCTCACATATCGCTTGCAGTCTAATTTGTAGAGCAATTTCCTAGATGTAGTTCTCAAAACTATCACATATTGAAATTTCCGAAAGATCAAAAGTTAAGTGAAGGACTAAGCTACTGAGTGGTCTTCAATGTGATTCTTTAGATTCGACCAAGGTTAATTAGTGTTTTATGATCTTTTGAGAGGGGTTCTTATTGTAAAAGTTCTGTGTTTACTCAGGTTCCCATGAAGAAGAGCTTGCATATTTATCTTTTTAATTCACGTCTTTTTTAATTAAAATAATGCATGATGCCGACTTTATTGCCTTTTTATTCATTTATGTTTTATGAACTCACCTCTGTTCTTGCTCATCTAGATGAAAGAGAAACTAAAGCATTGGTCCGACGCTTTTGCAAACGCATTTCATAGCCGCAACTTTGGAGAAGCTCTAAAAGCTATCCGGAGAATGACTTACTATGAGCGTGTAAATGAAAGTGTTGTAAAGAAGCAGTAATAAAGGTACCCTACGCAACTACTTAGCTAAATCATCAATGTTCAATAGAAAAAATGAGTGTAGGAATCAACATATAGGGCAGAAGGTGTATAATCATATCCGTGTTCAAGAACGTGCCTCTGGGAAAAGGGCTCTGTTCTATTCAATGCACATTTGTTTGGTTTTCTCTTTGGCATGGTTACGCACGAGAACACACACGCAGACAGAGACCTCCAGGGTATTGACCTGGAAACCTCACTTTTGACGGGATTATTTGAGAAAGGAGGGTACCATTTGCTTTATATGGTTATGCCGTCATTCTGTAATGTCTAGTAGTAAATTGAATATTTATTTGAAAAGATTGGATCTATATGTTTTTGTTGTTAACATATGAACAGATGGATAATGCTAATGAGGCTATCATCTGGCAGCCTTCAGGCTCTTAGGATCTCAAACAGTGGTTCTTGAGCAAACAAAGTTTAACTGCACGATTTGACAAGAAGATTTCGTGACAAAGTGTGAGTACGTTAAATTTAAGAAATGCTTGATTTTTTTGGCATATTACATTTTAATGAAATCTGTAACTTGATCCTAGATTGTTCCTCTTTACAGCCAGGTTTTACTTGAAAAGGTTTTTCCGGCTTACTTTCGATATAAATTAAATGCTGGAAACACGAAGATTGGGCGGAGATTTGTTGGAGCTGCGAATATTTTTCCATCGTTCGATTATGTAATCTTATAAAGATGGTTAAGAGGTAGCTCTTAATAATATGATGTTGAATAAATTGTCATTTGTATTAAATTTATGGCAGAAATAATCACTCATGCTTTTTACTGTTGTAAATTTCTAAACCGCGTCTGTCGAATTTACTTGAGTGCAGTGGCAGTAATTACTTTGTAAGTAGACTCAGCAGTTTTTGATACGATACGAAAACGACATGAAAATAATAGATTCTTAATGGGTATACACGCGGGTAACACACGGGTAACCCGTTAAGAAAAAAATTATTTTGATAATTTTAAATTTTAATTACTAAAAAATTTATTATAAAATACAATAGCCATATTAATATATACAATATATTCTATATTAAATATATAGTTTTGTATTATTATTCTATATAAGTTAGAAAAAAAATTGTCATTATTTATTTTTATTATGAGAGTTCCTTATTATCATTACTAAGATAAATTTTGCTTAATATGTTGTTGTCCAAAATTAAAATAAACTAGTATAGTATTTGTATAGGCAAGAATTAAGAAGACATACATACAAGTATGAAAAATGTAAAAGAATATATAAACACTCATGATCCATCATTATTCCTCCACGAGTAGATAATTGTTACACTTACATTATCGTTTAAATTTTAAAAATCATTCAAACCCTCATGAATAATGTTTTTTATTTGAGGGCAAAATTAATGATAATTATTGTAGAAGTGTAAATAATGTAATAAAAATATACAATCACTCATAGTGACAAGCTTTACAATTTTCATGAAGGGGTCAACTTCGAAATCCAACACTATAATCCATAAACCTTAAATTTATATTTAACCGTCGATTGTCATTTACGCTTTATTCTTCTTACTGAATTTCATTTTTTTTAATTTTCTTTTTTGAAAACATGACCATCTAGCGGATGTAAGAAGATGAACAGTTCAGATCTTTGATATCATGTTTCGATATTTACAGTTAAGTGAAATATGAGTTGATGTCATATAGTTTGTAGAAACTTTATAAACATCAAGCAATATTTTCACTAACCGTAAAACTGTGAATATAATTTCAATGATCCAAACTGTTCATCTTCCTGCATCCTCTAATAGATCATGTTTTCAAAAAATAAAATTTGAAAAAATAAAATTTGATGAGAACAATGAAGCCTAAATGTAAACAACAATCAACAGTTACATTTTGAACTATGATTTATATGATTATAGTGACGAATTTCGAAGTTAAGCTCTTCATGAAAGTTGTAAAGCTTGTCATTACGAGCGTTTATATATTTTTTTTCCTATATTTTTTACACTTCTACATTAATTAAAAAACTATTAAAGACTTTATTTAAATAACAGTCGTAAGATAAATGAGAGTAAATCTGTACCGTTGGATTCTATTTCACTTATATTATTAGAACTTTTTTGGACGAAAAAACCCCTTCTCTATTCCAATATTTTCTAATTTTACCATTTGATCAATTTAGGTAAGCGAAAATATACTTAAAAGAAAAATGCGTTCTTATGTTTTGGATGTGACAATATAGTATGTATATACTTATTTAGTATTATGTTTTTCATTTGATTATTTATTGGTTTAAAATATATTTTCCTTAACGGGTAACGAGTCGAGTTATATTACCTGTTAATATTATTGGGTCGATTTCGGGTCGGGTCATTTTACCTGTTTGTTGTAACGGGTATTACATAACACGACCTATTAAGATATTTGGTATGACACAAAAACGACACGAACATGGAAAACACGACACGAATGTTAGGTCTATTTGTAAGCATGCTGAGTTCGTCGCATATAGTATGTTCCTAGTCCAAAGTGTTGTTTGCCTGATTCGTGTCCCTGAATTCTGCACAAGTGAAAGAGGAATCGAAACCCAGATGGATAATAGCGTTAACTGTTTCGGGATTAGTTTTGACGTCCAGTTCGTGAATATAAATCAAAACATTCGAATACAAATTCTAGGAAAACTCATTTAGAACTAGAAGACAATGTTGTTCCTGCGGCGACAGATAGCTGCGAAACACCAGTTCATCGGAACCCCGAAAACCACATCGATCCAGGGGACGCAGTTTATTAGGCTTTGATAGCTGAGCCTGTTGCAAAACGATCAATCTTGTACAAGTTTGAGAAGCGGAAATGGATAATCTTGCAGGTTGAGCTCCAACACAGGAGCGGAAGAAGCCAGCGGATATAATGATAATAAACTTCTAATATATTGAGATTTCAAATGTAAACACAAAAGCGCTCGTGGCCTAATGGATAAGGCATTTGACTTCTAATCAAAGGATTGTGGGTTCGAGTCCCACCGAGCGTGCTTCTATTTTTGTTTTTTTCGGTCAAAGGTGCGAAACTTATTATCAACAAACAACTAAATACAAGAGGTCCAAAACAAGTGAAACGCAACAAAAAACAAAAGGACCCAAAGTTACACAACATAGGGCCTAACACACTAGTTGGAGTTTCTACAGACATCGCCACCGCGTACACATAGCATCATTGCCAGCGCAAACCAATGCCTTGTACTGCCATCAAGCATTCACCTCCCAGAAACGAAGAAGATGGTGGCTCCTACAACCTGCAACAACCACCATGCCGATCGCAACCAAAATACGAAAGAACCCATCGACGACAGTGCCAATAAAGGCAAGCAAATGGAGGGTGGTGATGTGTACACCTGAATAAAAACTCTACGCACCTTCCAAAGAAACCACAGCTGAGTGCTGTGAAGAAAAGAGATTGCAAATTAGAAAAGAGAAAGCAACAAGAAGGGTTGGAGCCAACCTGGAGTGGGATTAGAAGAAATTGGAAAAACAGAGTGAGAGGGATAGATAAGAGCCATGGAATTGGAACAATGAAAGCATAAGACTAAAACGGAAAAAGGGTGGAAGAGCAAGGTGGATAGGCAAAGTAGGAAAGAAAGCAAAGGTTACTGCATCGGAAATGAGGATAGATCGAAAACGGAAAAAAGGTGGAAGAGCAAGGCACATAGGAAAAGTTAGTCTTATACTTACTTTAAAAGAAAGCATAAGAACAACGGTTATTGCATCACCAATGCTATATACGTACGTACTTTTATCGGTATTTATGTGTCATTTTATTATTGATTATCGCGCTTCTGAAATCACTGTACATACTTATCTTAAAAAAAAGTATAAGACTAATTGTTTAACTATATCATCAATATAATATATATACCAACAACGATAAATACGTGCCATTTCATTATTGTCGTATCACGTTTTTGAAACCATTATACTTACTTAACTTAAAAGAAAGTATAAGAAAAACGATTTCACTTCGTCATCAATGCAATATACGTATATACCGTTAACAGTAACTATATGTTGTTTCACTATTGACGTATCACGTATTGTGTGTGATTAAAAAATATAAGTCATTCTACTTGTTTTGCAATCTTGGTGGGCCCCAACATCCTTTCCAATCAGGTCCACAATGGCGCAGTTCAAGCCCAACATGCCGCCTTGGAGCCCAAGTAAATCCATCTTCCCAAACCTTCGACGGTCGACCGACTGTGAAGCATCGCAAATATTTCTGGAATTCGCGCGAACAGAGAGTGACAGAAGGAAGGAGAAAGATGGGGTGGGTGTGGAGGGACGACGAGGATGATGACAACAATTCAACGGCGATTGACATAAATCCTAGATCGGACGGCGATCGATGCTTGACGAGGAAGGTGGTGAAGACGCAGTGCAAGACTGAGGAGGTGGAGCCTGGAAAGTTCGTCAGGAAGTGCGAGAAGACCGAGCAGCTTCTCAGGGACTGCGCCGGCCGGTAAATCCCAATCTCTCTCATTCTCTCTGTCGATTTCTCCATTTCCCTAAAACCCAATGGCAAATTGGGGATATTTTATCTAGGGTTTCTGTGAATTGTTGGAAATTGCCTGATGGTGTCATAACGTTATGACACTATTCGATTGTTGAGAATCATAACGTTATGATATTTGTTCGATTGTTGTAGGAAATGTTGGGTTTTCTGTAATTTTCATTACAACACTATTCGATATTGAATCCAATTTGTATAGTGTTTATAATTAAGAAAAATATATATGGAAACATGAGACAAGAGAGATGAGAAAACGCGGCTTCTTGCATTCGTTTATAAATTGTTCGAGTGCACGTGGTTTACAATTGAGTGAAGTATATATAGCGTGTGGTTAATAAGAGCGTGTTAATAACAGCGACACATAAGATGTCTGATTAGATTGTGTTGATTCTGCATACGGAAAGAGTTGTGGCTTTGATTTGTATTATGTCGGATGAATTGTGAATATAGTTAAAGGTCGTTTTGTGGTTATGCAAAATAGGTTCTTGTTAGAGCATCAGTATCAGTTTCAGCACTTCTTTATGCTATTTGTTCCTTGATAAATTGTTTGAGATTAATTTGAACGATGCCTCGAAAACATCAACAAGTATGCGTGTAGAATTGGTTTAGCAGCTGGTAAAACGTTTTATGCTTGTGCGAAAAAAGTTACATTGACATTAGAGCTGAACACTTTAATTGTTTGGTATGGGGCTGAATGTAGTAAAACATTTATAAGCACCATATCTCCGAATGTCTGTAGCAGTCTTTGGGATGTAATTGGAGCTATCTAGTGCTGCAGTGCTTAAAAAAGAACCTTTTCGTTTTCTTTCTTTGTTTGAGTATGGGCGGTTTATATGTTGCGATAACATTGACCAATGTAGAGCCAATTGCTGAGCACTCTTGCTTTTTGTTAGGCCTGTAGAAGTGGTGCAATCCAACAAAGAGTACACTGAAGACGACGTCACGGAAGAGGTGCTCAAAGGGTCTGCCACCTCTGGGTCATCACAGCATGGAGCATTTGACTTCCCAGGGCTACGCAGTGACATTGAAGACATTGAACGCAACTTTATGGGTGGCCTCAGCCGATTCTTTGAGGCTGCCGAGGAGTTGAAGAGTGGCTTCTTCAGTGCTTTTGGGAACATCTTTGATGAGGGACCTTCCTCCCCACTACCTCCTAGGAGGCGCGAGGTACCCATTGAAGGCCATCATCAGCAGGAAGCTTTTCCTAAAGCAAGTGGTAGCGACGACTCGGGGCACGTTGATCTCTCTGGCTTGGCAAGAGATGTTTGAAGCAGAGTTGTCCATTGCCCGTGATAAGTTAAAAGAATGACCACATCGGTTTACCTGTTAGTATCGTATCTTCCCTTTCTACTTAATATAGAGTACAACAGAAAATTTCTCGCGTACAGTAGAGCAGTTCCTACGAAGGAATTTTAGCATGAATCCATCATCCTGCCTTACGATGTGAATGCGCCTAGTAATGTTATACGAATCTTATTTGCTGAATGCATTATCTGATCATTTCGTATTGGTTCATGTAAACGCAATCTACGCAATATGTCAATTCTACGTGATACGTTGATGTATCACAGAATTTTCTTGAACCTTATTGCTCTCAACAAAAGAAGTCGTCTTACGTCTGGATAGAGAGAGTCTTGGTTGTCATCAGTTGTATACAATTATGTGTCTATCTTTTTTATCCCGTGTGTAGGGCCGATTTTCTCGATTGGAGACATCCGAGTAGACATTATGCTTTTCTTGTTTCGTTGAATCTTTTCACAATAATTGTGAGAGTAGGATCCTCCGGTTGGTGCCTAGTTAGTGGCAAGCCTCAAAGTGTTGCATGTTCGATATTAAATAGGATCCTCTGGTTTTTGATGAAGTTTCCAACGGCCTAACAAGTACCAACCAGTACGAAAGTCCAAAACACAAGTACACGTAAGCCATGATTGACCAACGAAAGCCGACCACGTTGCCGTGGAGTCAAACTTGTTCCTACAACTACGAGGTTTATCGCAGCAAGTACAATGGGTTAGTGTCTAGTCAAAGTCAAACACAAATGAACATAAAAATATGGTCTTTTCTATTTTTTTTATTTGTTTGGCATACAAATTGGTCACTTTCACTTGTTCACGCTTCCTCAACAATTTGCATTGAGAATTTGAGAAAATTGGAATAAATTGGACGACCAATATAACAAGGAAAGTATGCTTATAGTATAATTGTAATTTATATGTAATCTTGATTAATTTAGAGTAATTCTATTGGCATTGTTGCTTGCGTCGTGACGCCCTGAGTTGGGTAAACAATATGGACCGATTCTTCATGCCATGTGGTAAGTTGGTTGATAGATATCATCCAATTATAACAATATTACATACTATAAGTTTTTATTTATAATTCAGATTTACGTGTCATTTTTGGATAATATATGTCACCCAATCAGTCAGGTGAAAAAAATACCGTCACTAAGTCTTTATCCATATGATGAGGAAATTTAGTAAGTTACCATTATTGGTAGATTTTTATTTTATGAGTTTGTGGTTGGTGAGACAGAGAAAAGTGATAATTTAGATTAAATTTTTCTATACACGAAAATAGAAAAAGAAACTCACCGGCCAGTGGCGGCTGCCGGCGGTGGAGTGGCCAGCCCACACAATGACGGATGACCAAATCGGCCATAACCCAGCTGTACAGTTGTACAAACCCCCATTGTGGCATGCCGGTCACATCCTACCAATCTTAAACCCTCCAAATCACAAAGATCCCAGCCGTCCATTCCGGTTTTCAAATGGGAAGGTGAAAAGTTTCTCTCTGTTTGAGTCAAAATTGTAAAAAATAAAAAATAAAAAAAATAAAAAAAATAAGAAAAAGAAAGAAGGAACGCGTCTTGAAACATTCCAACAGAAAAACCTAACCCTCTCTCTCTCTCTCTCTCTCCATAATTTGCTTCCTTCTTCCTTCGTTCGTGTGCGGATGTGATTATATAACATGGAAAAAAGGTAGAAAGAAAACCATAATACTTTCTCTCACAATCTCAAAAACCGCACAATACGACTGTGTTTTACCATTCTCTCTCTAATTCTTCTGCTGTTTCTCTCTCTCCATAATCTGAAATCTTCTCCCTTCTTGACGTGGAACTTGTCGACATTTTCAGCCCCAAATATTGGGTTTTGTCCATTTTCCGGTTTCGGTTTCCGGCAGTCGTCTTCTCTATTGGGTATGCATTGGAAGGTTGAATGGTTTTGAGGAAAATTCATGTTCTTTTCTAACTTGTAGAAAGAATTTTGGGCCATTGGGTCCTCCTTTTGGTTAGTTTATTTTGGAGTTTTTTTTGGTGTACTTTGAGGCTCTTCCTGGGGTTAAAGATTGCAGCTTTTTCTCCAGAGAACCTCGACGGTACGAGTGAAACAACCTTTGTTTGAGAAGATTGTGATATTTTTCCATTTGTTTGATTCGAATATTTATTGTTCTTAAAGTGATTGGGATTGAGTTGGTTAAATTGGTGGATGGTGCTCCCTTTTTGGTCCTTTCATTTTAATACACATTACCTTTTTGAGATAAAAGAGATGGGATTTTGGCCCTTGTATGATATGTGTCTGCATTTAAAATTTTGATGAGAATTTGAGAGATTGATATATATTCCGATGGGAAACAACTGTGTTGGAAACAACTGTGTCGGATCAAGGAAGGATACACTCATCCATTCAGTCTCGAGATCGCTCTGGTGGTCGCGATCAACGGACGGTGTTGCCAGTAGAGGAATCAATAGTACTGATGCAACGCCGCATTTGAGTAAGAATCCGTCAGAAGGTCCTCTATACGTTCAAAACAAGGCCCCAGAAGCAGTTAAGATAGCTAAGGGAGACTATAAATCAGTGCAGGCTACAAATCAGAAGGTGAAGGTTCATCCAGACAAGCCTAATGAACCGGCAAAGCCTCAGACACAAAAGGAGGAGACATTACTTGCGAGGCAAGTAACACTTCAGAAGGCAGAGGGTAAGCTAGCACCACCAACAATTCACATGGGAGAGGCTAGACCGGTACAAGCAGTAGCAAAAAAGGAAGAGACTAAGCCAGCAGCAGCGGCAAATGCGAAACCCAATAAGCCCCATAATGTCAAGAGGGTAGCAAGCGCAGGGCTTCAGGTCGAGTCTGTCTTGCAAACGAAAACAGGGCATTTGAAGGAGTACTACAATTTGGGCCAAAAGCTTGGACATGGGCAGTTTGGGACAACGTTTCTTTGTGTGGAGAAAGCAACCGGAAAGGAGTATGCTTGTAAATCCATTGCAAAAAGGAAACTCCAGACTACAGAAGATGTGGAGGATGTGAGGAGAGAAATTCAGATTATGCATCACTTGGCAGGGAATCAAAATGTAATTGCGATTAAATCAGCGTATGAGGATGCTGTTGCGGTTCATGTTGTCATGGAATTATGTGCTGGGGGTGAGCTTTTCGATAGGATTATCAAGCGAGGGCATTACACCGAAAGAAAGGCAGCTCAACTGACAAGGACTATAGTTGGAGTTATAGAAGCCTGCCATTCTTTGGGTGTCATGCATCGTGATCTTAAGCCGGAGAACTTTCTTTTTGTCAACGAGGAGGAGGATTCATCACTTAAGGCTATCGATTTTGGACTGTCAATATTCTTCAAGCCTGGTATGTCTTACGATTTGTCTTTTTTCTCACCTACTGATCCATCTTATTTTCATTGTTTTTCTTTCAATCCATCTCAGTTCCACTTATGATTTTGTTTACTGTTGACCTAGATCATTTTAAAATCGATACCCTTTGACATTTTGGTAACTTATCACGCGAAACACCTATCAGATTGGTATTAGTATCTGAATGATGTCAAGCACGTCTTGTTATGTATATAATATCTCCCCTGTCAAAAACCATTTCCAGTTCTCCCAATTATTTAGTTGACTTTTAGGTAATTTTCTGGTGCTACGTACAAATGTTCTCTGTCTTTTCTATTACTGATGCAATTAATTTACAGGAGCTGTATTCGGTGATGTGGTTGGAAGCCCCTATTATGTTGCACCGGAAGTCCTGCGCAAGCGTTATGGTCCAGAAGCAGATGTTTGGAGTGCTGGTGTTATCATTTACATTCTCTTAAGTGGGGTGCCTCCATTTTGGGGTGGTAAGAGTTCTAATCTGTCTAGTACTGGATTTTTCTTCTTCCTGTCTCGAATGTGTAGAATTACGCAAAGCACTCTTTCTTTTCCCCCTCTTCTTATTCTTTTTTTTTTTTTTTTCATTTCAAACAGAAACTGAGCAAGAGATATTTGAAGAGGTGCTGCACGGTGATCTTGATTTCTCATCGGATCCCTGGCCTAGTATTTCTGAAAGTGCCAAAGATCTCGTTCAGAGAATGCTCGTTAGAAACCCAAAAAAGCGGCTAACTGCTCATCAAGTTCTGTGTAAGTTTATATAATTGTAGATATCATTAAGAAAGTGACACTGTAGTCCCCTTGTCAATAGTATGCTTGACGCACGCATTCGCTCTTCATTTTGCGTATTCAGTTATATTTCTCTTTCAATCAGATCCTCCCTGTGATACGTCTAACTTAGAATGTAGAATGAATTGTACCACTGAATCCATCATCGATTAAAATTAAACTTCAGGGGGGTGAAACTTTTATAAGCGAAAAAATTGATTTCGTTCTGTTGGAAGATGCCACCAGCATTCCAAACCAATATGTATGTTCTGATTTCTTGCAGGCCACCCATGGGTTCAGGTTGATGGAGTGGCTCCAGACAAGCCTCTTGATTCCGCTGTTTTAAGTCGCTTGAAGCAGTTTTCTGCAATGAACAAAATTAAGAAAATGGCTCTAAGAGTACGTCTTGCAATTACTTTTTATACTTAAAACTTCATGAACCTTTGTGTGAATACTCTCCTCTAAATCGACTTTATTGTGTGCAGGTCATTGCAGAGAACCTCTCGGAAGAAGAAATTGCCGGTTTAAAAGAAATGTTCAAGATGATAGATACCGACAACAGTGGTCAAATTACTTTTGATGAACTCAGAGATGGACTCAAAAGATTTGGAGCTAATCTAAATGAGTCTGAAATATATGATCTTATGAAAGCTGTACGTATTATATCCCTGATTATCCTTCCAAACTGAATGATGCTACCGCCTTTAGGTGTCCGAAACTTTTGAGGACTTATCCCTTACTATTCTCCCATTTAGTTGTTCTCATACGAACATTACTTGTTCTGAATTGCAGGCGGATGTTGACAATAGTGGCACAATTGATTACGGAGAGTTTATAGCAGCAACATTGCATCTAAACAAAATAGAGAAAGAAGATCATTTATTTGCAGCTTTCTCATATTTTGACAAGGACGGTAGTGGCTACATCACACAAGATGAACTTGAACAAGCCTGCGAGGAGTTTGGCATTGTCGATGTTCACTTGGAAGAACTGATCCGAGAAGTCGATCAGGACAATGTAAGTACATGAAGAGTTCTCAAATCATAGGACTGATGCTAAAAAGAGAATGGCAAGTTGTTAAAGT